ATCTTTCATTTAGGTGTTTTGGTGGTGTTTTTTTTTTTTTTTTTTTTTCCAGAGTGTCTTGGCTTTCCATGCCTGAAATACTCTCATGGGCTTTGCAGCCAGATCTGCATGCCTTAAGGGCTGATTCTGAGGCCAGAGTGCTGTTTAGGACATCTGCCATTCTACGGGTCTGCTGTGTATCTCACTTCCCATGTTGGATCATTCTCTCCCTTTTTTACTCTATCAGCTAGTATTTGCAGACACTATTCTTGTTTGTGTGATCCCTTTGGTTCTTAGTCCTATCATTATGATCAATTGTGAACAGAAATTGATCACTGGGACTAGTGAGATGGCATTGGTACATGCCACCTTGATGGGATTGAATTGGAATCCCCTTACCGTTTGAGGTAAGTCAGCTTGAGCATGTCCCAAATTGCACATCTCTTCCCTCTCTTATTCCCACTCTTATATTTAACAGCGATCACTTTTCAGTTAAGTTTCAGCACTTAAGAATAATTGTGTATTGATTACAGTATTCAACCAAAAGTATTAAGTAGAACAAACAAAAAAAAAAATACTAAGAGGGATAGTTCTCCCAACTGTTCCGGAAACCTGTCGGGCGTGGGCTCGCGCTGCCATGGCTGCCAGGTGCCTCCACCAGGCCCCAGCACACCCTGCCGAGCCCGCAGCCGCTGCTGTCCCCGCCGGACCCAAGGCAAGTTTACAAACACCAACCGGAGGCGCGTTTTCCTGGAAGCACATCCCCCTACCTCTCGTCCTCGCTGCCAAGCCGCCACATCCACTTCCGGCTCGGGAGCCCGGGAAGGCGGAGGTGGTGGGAAAGGTGGTGAGGCTGGGACGTTTGGAGTGGTCCAGCTGGTGAGAGTGCGGGGCCGGAGCAGGAGTCTCTGTGTTTTGATATTTAGTTTTATGACAGAGTAGTAGCAAGAAACACAGGTAGTGTAGTTTTAATCTTCTTAAGTTTGGAAAAACTTGCTTTGTGGCCTAAGGTATGATCTGTTCTGGAAAATGTTCTATTTGCATTTGAGAACAATGTATATGTGTTGTACCTGAAACGTCCAATTCCCACCAATTAAGATCACCAGGAGCCGAGGCTGATGCAAGCGCCAAGAGTTTTATTTCAAACTCTAGTTTGGTCCGACGTTCACACCAGGCACAGCTGGGCTGGATCGGCAGCCCCTACAGTAAGGTCGTTAGGGTTTTTATACAGTTGAACAAACAATTTCGGCTGTACAACATCTGATAGGCTCATATTTTAAATTTATATTTGCCATTCTATGATTGGCTAAAGTATAGGGTCCGAGCCGCTAGAGTGCACGTGCCAAACTGCAGGGTTTCCGGATGTTACCAGTCACATTAACTGCCTGATAAGACACCTGAAACTTTAGGTGTTTCCCTGCTATCTGCTAATTGGCTGTTGCTAGGGGACTTTATTGCAAGGGGAGCTTATTTTTTTTCTTTTAGGAGCTTTTGGCTTAGGGTTCAGGGCCCCGTCAGGCCCAAGATACAAGATGGAGGCCTAGTCTAAAATAGCTGGGCCTTGATCCAGGCTCAGGTCTCTCACATGCTGGTTTTGTCTGTTAGGTGTTTTTCATGTACAGATTTTTTTTAAAGATGTATTTATTTATTTGAAAGTCAGAGTTACACACAGAAAGGAGAGGCAGAGAGAGATAGAAAGTCTTCCATCCACTGGTTCACTCCCCAGATGGCCGCCACGGCCGGAGCTGCACTGATCTGAAGCCAACAGCCAGGAGCTTCTTCTAGGTCTCCCTTACTGGTGCAGGAGCCCATGGACTTGGACCATCTTCTACTGCTTTTCCAGGCCACAGCAGAGCTCTGGATCGGAAGTGGAGCACCCGGAACTTGAACCTGTGCCCACATGGGATGCCGGCACTGCAGGCCATGGCTTTACCCACTACACCACAGAGCCAGCCTCTCCTCATGTACAGATATTTAAGTCCACTCTTTCCTTATTGATCTTCACTCTAAATATTCTATCCAGTTTTGAAGGTGGGGTATTGAAGTCTTCTACTGTTATTGTATTGCTATCTGTTTTCATTTCTGTTAATACTTGCTTTATATGTTTAAGAGTTCCAAAGTTGGTGTATATACATTTAAATGTAATGTATTTTACCGAACAATTGATCCTTTTATCACCATACATTGTCCTTTGGTGTGCTTTATGACAGTTTTCTATTTAAAGTTATTTTTTCTGATGTAAGAACACTCCTGCTCTTTTTAAAAAAAGGAATTATTGATTGATTTGAAAGGCACAGTGACAGAGAGAAAGTGAGAGAGATTGAGACAACTCACACACACACACACACACACACACACAGATCTTCCCTCTGTTGGTTTACTCCCCAAATGCCTGTAACAGCCAGGACTAGACCAGGCTGAAGCTAGGAGCCAGAAACTCCATGGTGGTCTGCCACATGGGTGGCAGGGCCCCAAATATTTGGACTACTGTCAGTTTCCTTGGCAGACACATTATTAGCTGGAAGCTGATTTGAAAACTGAGTTAGGCAGGACTTAAAGCAGAACTCCAACATGGGGTGCTGGAGTTGCAAGCAGTGGCTTAACCTACTGTGCCACAATGCTGGTCCCACACCTGCTATTTTTAGGTTAACACTTACAGGGAATATCCTTTTCCATGCCTTCACTTTCAAACTATTTGTGTTCTCAAAAGATCAAATGAGTCTCATAGATTGCTCATATTTGGGTCCTGTTTTATTGTTTAGTTATTCTATGTCTTTTAATTGCAGAGTTTAATCCATTTACATTTAAAGTAATTATTGACAGGACAGATGTTTAGCTTAATGATGAAGACACTGGTGAAAATGCCTAAAGTGTCATTTCCTAATGCAAGCACTCCTCATTTGTGTGATAGGAGAGATTCTTTTACTTAGATATATATAGTCTATATATTTCTCATTTCAGATGCATAATTACAATCCATAAATTATTTTTATTGTATTTATTATTAATTCATATATTTGAGAGGCGAAGAGACAAGAGAGAAAGATGCAGATGAAGCTCTCATTCATTCATTGACTCCTTAAATGCCTGCAACTACTGAGACTGAGTAAGAGCAAAGCCAAAAGTGGGAACTCAATTCAAGTCTCCATGTGGGTGGCAGGGACCCAACTACTTGAGCCATCACCTTCTGTCATAAAGGTTCTGTGCTGGCAGGAAGCTGGAGTCAGGATCCAGAGCTGGAATTGAACAGGTAAAATAACCACTCACATTGTGCTGTTTTGTTTCATTTCTGTGTTCCTTGCTATACATACGCTCTAAGAGAACAGAGATAGTGTCTGTCTAAAACCCAGAAGCTACTAGTTGCTAAGAAATTATCTGAAAAATCATCAGATATGAAGCAGGAACAGAACAGTTATAAATGCTCAGCAATGTAAACACAGACTCCAAGAGCTATAAGGATGAAAAATCAGTGCAGCTTGATTTGAGCTTTAAAACGTGAGTAGGGGGGCTGGCACCGTGGCGCAGTAGGTTAATCCTCTGCCGGCAGCGCCAGCAATCCATATGGGCACCAGTTCGAATCCTGGCTGCTCCACTTCCAATCCAGCTCTCTGCTATGGCCTGAGAAAGCAGTAGAAGATGGTCCAAGTACTTGGGCCCCTGCACCCACAAAGGAGACCAGGAATAAGCACCTGGTTCCTGGCTTTGTATCGGCATAGCTCCAGCAGTTGCGGCCATTTGGAGAGTGAACTAGCGGATGGAAGACCTTTCTGTCTCTCTCTGCCTCTCAGTGTCTATAAGTCTACCTTCAAATAAATAAATAAAATCTTTAAAAAAATAAAATATGGGTAGGATTCAGAAGGAAATGAGAAAAAAAGGAAAAGTGTAAGGGAAGGGCATTTCATATGAGAATAATAGAAATCAAAAGGCATGATCTTCAATGACTAACTTGAAGTACTGTTATTCGTTCTTTAATGGCAGAAGATATGAGAGCAATTTTTTTCTATAAATCTCATGTTTTTACTAGATTTCAACTTGGGTATAAGTTGTCACAGGGAAAAAGTTTACTATGGAACATTGTTCTGCAGTCATATTCAGAATGAGGGCATTAGACATTTAATACATTTCATTTAAAAAGTAAGGAATTAAAATGAGTCTATTATATAAACACAGTATGGAACTTGTCTGATATGTTGGAAAAGCTTAAATAATTATTTTGGCTTTAAAGTCTGATAAAGATCTGATTTTGAGTGATGAAATAAATCCACTCCTTGCTTTGTCTTTACAAATTAATGCAGCTATAAAACCTGGACATACTGGATAGAGCAACTATATGAGGATTCTGAAGAATAAATATATGGATCTTCAAAAAGTTCAGAGACAATTCTGGCTATGAAAACACTTTGAATGGATTTCAATTTTTTACACTGAAATTTCAGTCCATTTTTGCGCTGGTTTAATTCCATTGTCCATAAACACACTACTGTTTAGTCCTTTATTATGCCTTTAAAATGAAAATAGTGTTTCTCTGAAATAGTCATACACATAAATAAGTATAAGATTTAATTTACAAAAATAATCTTAGAGTCCATTATTTTGTTACACTGAGGAGCAGCAGATTAAGGCATAGCTCAGGGAACCTGCTGGGCATCAGTCAGTAGGGCAGGACTGGAGCAAAATAGTGAAGCCGATGCAGTGTGCCCTTGGCTCAGGTGCCATTGCTGCTCCCTGTCAACACTTTTTTCCCTCCTCAGTTTGACTACTCAGTTCTCAAGGCTCCCATTTTTTTTTATGTTCCACTTTAGTCTTGGATATAAAAATGCAAATTCTACCTCACAAACTTGCTTTGCCTTTATATTTAATTCACATGAAAATATGCTCTGTTGAAAGCTTGATGGTTACTATCAGTATTTTGATAAGAATCTGATGACATCAGAGTGGATTTCTAACCTGTAATTCCAAGTTACTAATAAACCTGGCTGTGAGGAAAGAAGAGAATGAATTGTTATGCTAGTTTACATATGATAAGTGTATATGTGTGTTAACACTCTGTATCTGCACATTCCACAGCCTCAAATTCAACTCACCTTGGACTGAAAAACCATAAGCATCTGTAGTGAACATGGAGATACTATTTTTTCTTGTAAGTATTTGTTAAATAAAATACACATTCTATAGGTCATAAACAGAGTCTACAATGCTCCATTTTATATCAGAAAGTTATGCACCCACAAAAAATGGTAGTCTCGTATCCCGGCACCAACGTCCCTGGATATCAAGGGAAGACTTTATTTTATTTATTTTTTTTTTAATCAATCTCATCTTTTCCTAGGTGAAGCAAAAACTTTAACTTGGCAAAAGTCCTAAAGTCCATGCTATCTAAAGATCTGGGTTTTTTTAAAGATTTATTTACTTATTTTTTTTTAAAGATTTATTCATTTATTTGAAAGTCAGAGTTACATAGAGAGAGGAGAGGCAGAGAGAGACAGAGGTCTTCCATCTGCTGGTCCATTCCCCAACTGGCAGCAATGGCCGGATCTGAGCTGATCCAAAGCCAGGAGCCAGGAGCCTCCTCTGGGTCTCCCAAGAAAGCACAGGGGCCCAAGGACTTGGGCCATCTTCTGCTGCTTTCCCAGGCCACAGCAAAGAGCTGGATCAGAAGTGGAGCAGCCAGGTCTCGAACTGGTGCCCATATGGGATTCTGGTGCCTCAGGCCAGGGCATTAACCCGCTGTGCCAAAGCGCCGGCCCCTAAAGATCTTCTTTTTTAAAGATCTCCTGTCACAACTGGCAACTTAGCTGGAAAGACATTTGTAACAATTCACAGTTTGATTAGCAGTGTAAAAAGGTGTCCATTTTCCCAAACCTTTACTAAAACTGTGT